GGACCGCGTGCAGGTTGCGCCAGGCCAGCCAGACCGGTGCCCGGGGGGGAGACCAACTTGGTAAGTTGTTGCCTGGGTGCTTGCCTAGTTGTCACGAGGTGCCACGTGTCGCAATTTCACTGGAGGGCCAAATCTGCCCTCATCATAAACATTTTATGTTAGATGTTAAACGTAAATGGAATTCTACCTATGCTATGTTAGAAAGTTGTATTTCTCATAAACAAATTCTTATTGATTTTTATAATGCAAAAAATGCCTAATGATATTATATTTGAGGAAGACTAGGGAATGGCAGTTTGTATAAAAGATTTTTTAAAAGAATTTTATGATGCAACTAATGAATTATTGGGTATTTATTATCCAACTAATTGTAATTTACCTTATCAATTAATGGTGATTAGTGGTTGTTTTGCAAAATATAAAAATAATTCACAATTTAAAAGTATTGTTGAAATAATGGAAAATAAATTTAAAAAATATTGAGAGAACATTTCTCCTCTTTATTGCTTAGATACAATATTAGATCCTAGGATGAGGAAATATGGTTTAGATATTTTACTTAAAACATATTATAAAAATATGAATATTGAAATTGGAAATAAAAACAAATTAATTAATAATTTATTATTTGAAATGTATAGTTTATATGAATCCGAAGTAATAGGAAATGATTCTACAAGTTGTACAACATCTTCTACTTCTAAACTTGAGCCTAAAAAGTTGTACAACATCTTCTAAACAATGTGGCACGGCGCCAGGGGTGCTTTTGTAATTTCAGGGAATTTTAGGAGCAATGTTTGGTAACTTTCAATACGTTGGGTTAAACCGGGTCCAAGGGTTGAACCGGGTTCTTGGGTTAATGATGGGTGGTTCTGGGTAAAAAAATGGAGGGTTGAGATGGGTCTGACCACAGAGAATGGGTTTGTGTGTGTGGGTTAACAAGATTGGTCGAAATGGAATCTTTTTTGATGAAAGGGTATTTTTGGATGTGGGTTAACAAGGGTATTTTTAGCTAAAATTTTGTAAGGTGGGGTTTTCGGACATTCTGAGCTGATTGGGGGAGTCAGATTGGCCAATTGGATCGGGATCAGGCGGATTTTGAATCTGGTCAATCTGGCACCTCGAAATTGAATCTTTATGTAATCGAAGCAAATGAAGGTGTTTTGAGATGTTTTGGATCTGATGGTTGTGTCTGATCTAATGGTTGAGGTGTGAGTGAGAGTCAATCGGGGTCATTAGTATCAGACAGGTTTAACGGTGGATCTGAGGGATCTCAGGGTGAAATTTGGGTTTTTTGGGTTTTTGGGTGTTTCGAAGAGGTTGGATGGGTCTGACCGGGTGTTTGGGGTGAATTGGAGGCTCAGGCGGCAGACCGGGCAAAAATCGGGTGCTAACATGCATGAACGATGAAAGTATAGAGATGCACATCTGCTTTAAATATTGGTTGGATGCTGAAGATACATTACAAAACAAAGGAAGGCGTGACACTACACCTGATGTTTCACCTGAAGCAGATGATGAAAGTCATGAACAATAGTTGACTAGTTGTATAGAATTTTTTTTTTCGAATTATTATAAATTTTGTTTTAATTTTATTTAATTTATTTGTTATTGTTTTAACAATGTAATTTTGTATTTTTAATTTGTAACTATATTGTATTTTTTATATTTTATTAATTTATTCCATTTTCATATTTCATTCATCCAAGTATCCAACCATTGTATGCTTTGTAATTTGTATCATTCAAATTTAAATGAAATAAAATTCCTATTTTTCTTTCAATTTGTTATTCCATCATTCTTATTTGGTTAAATATTTTTTTCATTTATGTATTACATTTCTCATTTCTTAATTTTTCAAAAAGCTCCCAAAGCTCAAAGGAAAGTTAAATATTTTAATTTTACATTTTTACTTATAAAAGAAATAAAAAATTTCAAAACAAAAAACAAAAAAAAATGCAAAAAAACCAGTCTAACCACACCCAAGGTCCAGCCCGGCCCAGGCCCACAGTACGGCATGGGTCTGCATGGGCTTGGGCCGTGGGCCGTGCTGATCTGACCCCCACCGGGAAGGGCAGCATGGCCATGATGGCCCGCGAACCAACATGACACAGCCCGCACTTTGCACGAGCCCCCCCGCGGTGTATAAAAAAATGCTTGGTACAAAGGTATTTTTTTGCAATATTTAAGATATTGAAGGTCTCTTTCCCAGCTTCCTAATTCATATTGGAGGTTCACCATGGCAGCTTTACGTCATACTTGATCTTATGTTCCACTTTTTTTTCTGCAATCACTCGTGTATCAGATGTGCCTACGGGATATTGAAAAAAAAATTATAAATTAAAAAAAGTAAAAAACTTGAAAAGGGGGAGCATTGTTCATATTAAATATGCATTGATACCAAATTTTAGATATGGAATGTATCCATATTTTAATCTTTGCTGTCATTGTTGGGAGAAATTTACGGTGATTGATAAAAGGTTCCCTGGTATAGAGTGATCCTAAACACGGGATAATATGGTGTCCAAGTCTAATCAAGGGTGTCCCAAAAAGTGATTATGAGATGCATTTATAGACGATGCTAATAAAACTATTTTTCCACGTTTATTTTCAACATTATCTTATAGTGGATGCAGTTTTCAGTTTCCAATTCTACTTTTGAGTACCCAATTACTTTATTAATCAAATATACTCTAACTGCAAACCAATCAGTTTCAAGTCGCAACTCATCACAAAATGTTAATTGCAAGTTGCAAAATCCCCAACATTATCATCAATGACCCACCAGTTCAGTTGGAAATTAAGACAGACTCGTATATTAAATGGGTACATGGAAGTGAAAGTATAAACATTTCCTTAAGCCTTTGTGCTAAGTTGTGCAATAACCAATGAAAATTCATCGAAATTCATAGGGTGGTTTGATTAATCACACTCTCAAAAGTGAGATCTTTCACTATTATAACCACCCACTCTTCAGAGTTCGACCAATCAAAACCACCCCATAAACTTTAATGGGTTCTTATTGGTTAGTGATTTAATGTACAATTTAGCACAAAGCCTCAAGTTCAAGAAATCCAGACTAATATAAAATGGCCATGGACCAGATAAAAACCTTACCTTCGGCACTATTTTTTCACAAAGAGGGGCATCTTCTAAAAGAACTAAATAATGCATTCATTGCTCTGATCCCAGAAGTTAAATGTCCTGAATCCCCTAATCAACTGTTGTTTGATGTAAAATACTGCCGTGTTCATCCCAAAGCCTGCCTTATGTAATTAAATATTATTAGTGATGACTCTCTTTTTCTTGAAATCTTTGTCTCCTTCTGAATGAGATCAAACTGGTGATGAAGATTTCTTTTCTTGATACTGAAATGAATCAAGGATTTGATCGAAGAAATGAACCACAAGGCTGTGTTTGGTTTGATCCTTTCCCTACCTTTTCTTTCAAACCAAACACAGCCCAAGTTCAATATCTAATTTTGATCTGCACCCTCCGGCTGCTTCTTAATACGATATTGGAACGAGACCATTTCATAATGATCATGAAGAAAATATACCCAGATAATTTTATTGAATTTCCCTCTTCACAACAAGTTAACAAGTTCATTTTTTTTTCTTTAATTGTCATTGATTCATGAGTAGAAACTATATGTGGAGGAGTCGATGATGATATTCCGCAACCCGCCAATGGTTGATGCAAACATGATGAATAAACCCACGAATATGCACGCCTGTAATAGGACAAGTAGATAACTATGTCAAATTTCTTGAAAAGAATTGAAGTGATGATGAGAAATCCCTTAATAAGGAAAAGATTCTCTATATATTTACCCAATTGATTAGCCATGAACGACTGAATCTCCTGGGCTTCTTGATTGCCAGCCACATTATGCAAGGAAGCTGCCACAAGTTCACACGACAAATGTTTAATTACCTCTCTGAAGCAAATTCATCTTTTCTGTAGAAGGTAAACTGAGAAACAAATTTGTAATTGACTTACAAAATATGAAGTTGGAGCAAAGCCAAATCCACCAAAGAAACCCAAAAGATCGCCAAAGAATGGGAAGGTGACACCAACGAATAGCGTAAGTGCTGCAAATGAAACAGGCCTTTGGTTTATCTCTTATGCATTAAACAGTCTATACTTCATGGGGTGATGTAATTTAGCCGTATTGTTCTAGAGCTTAATTATCAGAAACTCTCTCTCATGTTGGTTTCTGTGTTAATCAGAAAAGAAAATCATTCTGTCATACCAACATAAGTGGATCGAGTGACGAGTCGAAGTGGAAATCCTGGTGGAATGTTGAAGCGCCTTATCATTATCTTCTCAAGCATATCGAAGACCGGCATGGCATATACCTGCAAATACCTCTGAATTAACTGATACTTTTTTTTTTTGGTAGAAATTTAAAAGTTGATCATTCTGTATCTGTTAAATCATTCAATGTTATTGATTTTATTTGTATGTCTCTATGTTAAGATAGATCTTTCATGAGTTTGGCAGATTAAGTGTCAAGAGGACGTCTCTTTGAGAGCAGTCGTTCTGTAATATTCTAAACTATACAGTCTTATATATACTTCTTTTTCTTTTTTGTGCCTCTTCATTGCATATAAGACCATCGACAACACCCATAAGAAGAAGTGATCTGCTTCAAGTTGAAAGGATTAGAAGGGCTAGGAGTAGATCAAAAGAGACATGGATGGAAATGGCACGTACGAAATAATTTAACAATGGATATGGCATTAGATAGATAAATAGAACATAATGGTGAAACAGGATTCATGTAACAGACCCATATAGTTCGGATAAGGCTTGGATGATGATGATGATTTTGTGCATCTCCATTAAAAGAAAGAGAATAAACTAGAGTATAAAGATACACTTGGTCTGCACATAAATTATCCAAGAAACTGGCATGGGTGTGTTGATACTCAATTGAAATTTAACATAAGTGGGCTAGCTTTGTAGTTAAATAATTATTTTAATGGAATCTTAACTTCAATTATATCTGAACCAAAAGCAGAAGAACGACAGAGATTATGTTACTTCAAAGTTGCTACCGAATTATCAAAAGATGTCTAGTTCTGTCACAAACCTTATTAGAATATGCTTTCTCAATGACTATAACAATTCCATGTGTATATCTTTTACCCTCGTATAAAAGAGAGAATTTCAGTTACTCCTTTTTGTGGGGTACTTCAAACTTTTGCTTTCTACTTACAACTTTAATTTATTCTTTCTTATTTTCAATTAGGCCCCATCTAATGGACTATTTTTGTCTTAGCTTTCCCATCTCTGTGCTCTACCTCTTTTTCCATCCTTCACCCTTCTGTGCTCCCCCCCACCACTCTCATGTTCCATTCTTTGCCTGTCTTACCTCCTCGGGGTCCATTTTTCTGCTTTTTCTAAGTGAAGTTCAAAACAAATTAGGAGCCATTGACAAACACTTGAATGATAAAAGAGTCTAGCTCATGAGTCTCCATTGATTATATGCATAGTTCCATGGTGAAGAAATGTGATACCTGGTAGCTACCAATGACATGGATTACCACCATCAGGTTAGCTGCAGCTATGAGCCATTCTGGTCGTTGAAGGGCCATCAGCAGATTATCATCCACGTCTTGGCCGAACGCCCAGTAGCCTATGAATGCCGTTGGGAAGTAGCAAATTGCTGTGATGAAGTATGCAGTCATAGCACCTTTCCACATTGGAACCCTTGATGGCTTCTCCGGCGTCGATGGAATTGTTGCTTGAATCTCAAGGACAACCCCATGACCGGCAAAGGCAAACGAGATCTGTCCCAGCGCATTGAACACCCGAAACATATAATCAAGGGAGCTGGTTTTCTTGTATGCATAGCTCACATTCTCAATCCGTCCTCGACCCAAACAACCAGCCCAAGATATCGTTGAATAACTGCAGTTGCACCAGAAAAGTTAAACAAATGTGAAGCAATAATGGTTCTACTCCATTATTATTAGGACACATGGTCCAGAAACAGGAGATACTATCATACTACCCCACCTAAGGGACATGATCGCTGCAGCTAAAGAAACACCAGCAACAGAGTTGAAATTAGGGAGCTGAGACAGGAAGAAGTGGAGGGAACCAAAGATGCAAATCCAGAGTGATGAGCGAAGTCTGGTGCAGTTGGTGCAGGCTATCTCCATGAACTTCTGGAGACACTTCCCCCCAGTGACCATGTAGACAATGTCACACCCCACCTGGACGATGAGCTGCTGAGGGAGCACAATCCATGGCCCCAGTTTTGGGCCGAAGGCGTGCTGGCCGAGTTCATAGTAGCGATCAAAGCGAGTCCCAGGAACACATTCATGGAGCTGTATCATCTGCCATATCGTGTACAAGGTGATGCACCATGACAATATCAGCACAGTTGCTCCTGGCCCCCTATTCCTCACAAGGAGAGAAGAATCAAAGCATCAAAATTTGGTCTTATATCTGTATAAATTCAACTTGGTAAGAATAAATTAAAACAGAATTGAAGTAGGTGTTATGTTATTCGATCTGGTATATATACCAGCCTAAGTAGGCCATGGCGTATGGCAGGCTGAGAACACCTGCTCCAACCATGGCTGTGACATTGTGGAAGGCTGAGTACCACCATTTGGCTTCACGAGGGGGGCCATCTTTTGACCACTCTTCCTCGAAACAAACTTCCTGCAAAACAAGACTCCCCAAAAAACAAAATCAGTCATCCATTAATTATATGGGAAGAAATTAAGATTGATGGGTTCAAGGGAATGAATGAAGCAAGAATTTTTCTAGCTTTACCTTTGGACGGGGTGGTGATGATGCAACCATTCTTGCACTAAAAGGAGTGATCACTACCTTGAATATGTGGGATTAAGTGATGAGTTCAGTGATCTTCTCACCACCTTGAATGTGGGGAGTCCAAGGTATCTTCCTATATATTTGTACTACAATATTGTAGTGGTTGGTGATGCCCTTAATGACTGGTCTAATATTAAAGGTAGAGAGAAGAATCCAAATCTTAGGAAATATGGGAGGTAGTTAGCCGTCTAGGACCTTTTTTATTGTTTACTAGCTACAAAGAAAAATATAAGGTAGAAACAAGATATCAAATTATGGGAAAACACCCTGTATGTGACCCACCAAGTCATCATTCTGAATCATTCACTTGGTAGCCAAATCACAGTTGATGATTTGAGGAATCAGTAGGCCATGTGCATCGCCTAGCTAACATACACAAACAATAGCAAAACCAACCTCTACTGGAGCAGCCGAGGCTGCTGCACATGCTTCTCTTTTCCTTATTATATTTGCAAGGTGGGAATGAAAGCTTTCTTTTAGACTATCTGATTTGAACTAATGATGGTGAAGCTTAGTGGGTTGGCGCATGGTTTCTATCTTTAAATCACAACCTGTTACTTAACATTGGGAATTATATAATTCAGGGGTATTAATTGAGGTGATGAGGATGCAAGATGCTTGCTTTACGGGTTTGTGGGGCTATATCTTTGGGCTACCGCAATAGCTTTGGAGATGGCAATAAGTTGGATGAAAACCCAATCTACATCAAACAAAAAAGTAGAGAGATTTGAGGTCACCTTTGCTTATCTTATCTAGGTCGTCATGTAAACGACATTGTTACCAGCGGTGGTTGAGGGAAATGGGTCGGCGGACCCGGGTCAAAATACAATGATTGTGAACAGACATTCCACCTTGATCCATGGGTTTACATGATGAGACTTCAGTTGGAGACTTGTGTTCTTCAAATTCCTAAACATATTTCTCTAATGTGTGTGTGGAGAGAGAGAGAGAGAGAGAGAGGGAGGGGTCACATTTCAGTCACTCATGGAAGGTTCAAGGCGTGAAATGTCTAGATGCAATGAACATTCCAGAATTCGTATTGGAATAGACTGTGGCCTTGTAGATGTGAAATGCTCGTAACTTTCATTGAAATAGCTGCTCACCAAACTATGGCCCCATGCCTTAAAAATCCCTACACCCCATTTATATCCACCTTGTATTTTGGCTTTTCATAGGAGAGCCATGGCCCGTATGAAGGGGTGTGTTCAAGCAAAGGCAGAGCCAAGAGTGGTGAAGGGGAGCCATGGCCCCCATGCATTTAAAATCCTTACACCCCATTTATATCCACCTTGTATTTTTGCTCTTTATAGCAGAGCCATGGCCCCCAATGGAGGGTATTCAAGCAATGGCAGAGCCAAGAGTGGTGGAGGGGAGCCATGGCCCCGGATGGAGGAGTGTATTCAAGCAATGGCAGAGCCAAGAGTGGTGGAGGGGAGCCATGGCCCCCGTGCCTTAAAAATCCTTACACCCCATTTATATTCACCTTGTATTTTGGCTTTCTATAGGAGAGCCATGGCCCCTTATTTTAGGGGTGTGCTCAAGCAAAGGCAGAGCGAGGAGTGGTAGAGAGGAGCCATCGCCCCCATGCCTTAAAAATCCTTAGACCCCATAGATATCCACTAGGGGTGAGCAAAGGGTAGGTTCTACCCAGAACTGAATGGAACCGATCTCGAATTGGTCTTGAACTGACCCTACCCAATCTATTATAGGGTAGAGTCTGGTTCCAAATTCTTGGAACCAACCCCCACCCAAGTCGATTCCAGGGTCTAGGAGTTTATCGTACCTAAACTGATCCGATGAACCAACCTTAGTTGGCCTTGGTGGAATCGAACTTGGCTTGAAATATATATGCCCCAAACTTTTTTTAAGGTTGAAAAGATTTATTTGAACCCAAGCACTCATGGTTACAAAAGACATGGTCTCACTTTACCATTGAGTTACTTAAGTGATTTGATAATTTGTTTTCATTTTAATATTTGAATGTGTATACCAAATAATGTAAAAGATAACATTTATAAAGTTTAAATTATAATGACAAATTTTAAACAATATATATTAATGTATTATGGTAACCTACATATTAAATTACTCAATTTAATTAGTAAAGATAATATAAATTTTAAACTATATATTATCATTATTGAAAATTAAGTTTTTAAAGGACATATTTCTTTTTCTTTTTTTTTTTTAGAAGGGAAAGAATAAAGAAATAACATTTCCACATGTGGACCCTGGAACCGATCCCGAAACCACCAAAACCAAAACCAACATTCACAAAATAGGTTCTAGTTCCAAAATCTTAAAACTAACCTTTCTACCATAGAACTGAGCCAAACTAACCCATACTCACCCTTAATATCCACCTCGTATTTTGGCTCTTCATAATAGAGCCATGGCCCCCCATGCCTTAAAAATCCTTACTCCCTGTGTATATCCAACTTGTATTTTGGCTCTCCATTTATGTTTATTACCACTTTTGGCTCCCCTAATCCTTATTTAGCTGTTTCAAAAAAAAAAAAAAATCTTTATTAGCTGTTGGCTCCTCTAACCAAAAAAAAAAAAAATCCTGCTCAATAAAAAGTTATGGATGTTTAAACCATTTCTCACATGTAATGCCAAAAAAGTACGTAAGGCTGAACAATGCTCTCTGTCCCGGTTGCATCCCATGATAATAACATTAGTGAATCTCAAGCCACGAAATTAACATCAATAGAAAATTCATCAAAGCGATATATAATAAGACAAGTATAGTGGACACAAACAGGTTTTACTCAAGGGAGATAAAGACAGTATTAGTGGTATCCAGATCAACTTCCACCCAAATGAACAACGATCCTAAGGACGACAATCGGGAACCGAGGAAAAATTAGTACGCAGTACACACAATAAAGGAATTGTACTATTGATGACAATCGGAACCGAGGAAAAATTCATCAAAGCGTAATGACGTTGTACTACTGATGACCCAGTAGTTGAGATGATAATTAGGTTTCACTCGACAAAATGAGTTTTCTGAAATTTAATAAATACCATCTGATTGATTGTTGATTAATCACAAGTTTTTTTTAGATATGATGTCTTTTTGGTATATATATTTTGAACTTATTTGTTTTTAATAAATGCGAGAGTTCACGAATTTATCTTCATTCCTTTTCTGGTATTAGTGTGTTTCAAAAAAAGAATGATTCCTAAGCGCTGGAGTTGTAAATGAGTAAGATTCAGATCAGATCCAATCACATCTATGTCCACATCTAATTATATGAAACCTCTATATCTGCATCCGCAAATTATCATCTTAAATTTTGGATTAGATTTGGATTTATCTCCAATCATTTTAGTGCGTTTAAAATGACCAAAAATTTTAAAAGTTTAAGTATTTTTAATTAATTTATATATGTACAATAAATACATATAAATGCAAAATATTAAATTTATTAATTATAAATTTCATATAATTATGCATAATATATTTATACCTATAGATAATAATTTTTTTTTATCAAACTTGGATTTCAATTTCAATCGGATTGGATGGGGTTAAATTTACATCCGATCTGATTATCAGTCCAATACAAGTTCTAACATCCAAATTTGGAATAACTGGACTCAGAGTTGAATCGACTATTAGACTTTCAGAGTCCATTGAAAACCTTTGCCCACTTGGGTAAATAACTTTCCCGCCCACAAGGGAAATTGCTAATACATGATGGGGTAACATTATTCCTTCAATAATGACACTTTTATGGATAATCTTTTTTTATGTCTTTTGCTTGTGGGATTCACCGCCCTCCTAATTGGACCTCTCTTGCTGTCAGGGGTGAGCAAAAAAAAACTGAAAACCGAACTAATCAAAAAAATCGACCAAAACCGAACCAAAAAATCAGTTAACCAATCGGTTCGTTGTTTTCAAAAATCCAACAGTTTCGATTAACCATTTAAAAAAACCAGTGGTTAACCGAACCAGTATATATATATACAATATTATATATATTATATTATGTATTATATTTTTTAAAATTGAGTAACAAAGTTGGGTTTTCAGCCTTTCTCTTGGAAAATCAAACCTGTCACTGCTGGTCTAGGCTATCCGGCAATCTCTTAGTCTGACTTTGACAATCTCTTCGAATGACGTGCCTTTCCAATTTCCAATGTAAGAGAAATAGAGAATATCGAACTATTGAACTAAGAAGGACGTTTGGTGTTCATTGTTCAAGACTTACTTCAAGTCTTCAATAGCTTCTCTGAGTTCTCTCAGCATCTTGAACCCAAGAGGCCCAGACCAATGCTTTTCCACACCAGAAACGGTTTCCACCATTCCCGGGCTTTTTCCCCTTTCTGGTTCTCTTTGAACATAGGAACACCTTCGGCTGCTTCAGGAATGCCTTCTCCGTCTGTTCCGCCGTGATCGAGAGATCCTAAGAGGACGACCAAAAGGAGGAGAAACTAGACACTCTACAGTTGGCTAGAGCTGTTGTTCATCTTAACAACTATCTCACTCTCTGTTCTCTCTCAATCTCTTCTTCTTCTTCCCCAATGGGCCAGACTTACCCTCTGTTCTCTCTCTCTCTCCACTCACTCAGACTCTTCTCTCTCAGTAGGTTTTTTCCTTTTTTTTTTTATTTTCAATACATAAAAAAACCGAAAAACCGAACCATGGTTAACCGGTCCACCGGTTATCCGGTTGCATCAGTTCAATTTCAGTTTGATTAAATTTAAAAACCTGACAGGTTAGTTCGGTCTAGAAAATCACCCCACGTGAGCACCCCTACTTGCTGTAATTTCTTCTTTTTTTTTTCTTAGTGGCTCTTTGGTTGTTTGTTTATCAAAATAAAATGTTCAACACCATTAGCCAATTTTACAGTGAGTGATAAATTTATCAAAATATCAGTTCATGGTTTTAATAGGTTGATGCACAAGTTTCTAATATGAAAAGGTGTTCGTTCAAATCTAGAAAATGAAAATAGGAAAAAAAAAAAAAAGGTGGAGAACTTGGGCTTTAGCATTAAATAAAAGGAGAGCAAAATCCTTTTGGGATTTTGAAATATTTAAAGGCACGTCTCGATAACTAACGTAAGCTAACAGTTGGACCTAATGTTGATTTTTGAAATTATACCTAATTGTCACAATTGAGGCCCTAAGTTGCATTGCCTCTAAAATAAAGGGTACC